CTGATGACGTTGTAACCGATTACACGGGGAGAAAGGTTTCCTTACGGAATTTTGCGAACAAAAACATGTATACATTGGAAGCGTCATTTTCAAACTGGTAAGTGTACATGGAAAGCACCGTCTAACAAAGGACATCAGGCCAAACTCGTACACACCCGATGTTGAATATTTAAGACACGACAGCCGGCTTGATCACCTTTGCTAAATTTCAGACACACAAAACCAAATCGTGATGTGTATATTTATGTTGTTACGACCCAACACCACAAATAACATACCCAATCGTTTTATTGGATTAAATCGGGTTTTACTTTTATGAGTGCGATTTTCGGAATTTAACGACAATGTTAAAAAGTCGTCGATAAAGCGTCGATGAGCGCTCTCTAGCCCGGGAACTTGTTGTGCAAGTTCGGCGTGTCCAGTTGGACAGTGTACGGTTGGCTCAACGCCACTCTTTCGCATTGTAGGTACATGGTACTTGCCGAGACATGTCAAATTTGCTAGGAATTTAACATATGGTTACTGAATTGGAGTATACTGTTGGTAGTTTCTAATTCCGTATCTAGTTTGTTTTACTCATGTAAGTCCAGTGGGCCATTTTTACTGATTTTGTTAATACCACGGAAGTATTTTACCTCGCACTTGTTCGGGCTACAAATTGATTCTGAGAATAAGAGTAAACGGTGGTCGTCTTGAATACACACATTTTAGTCTGGAAGCCCAGAGCTCTTTGATTCGTAGCACCCCCTCTACAACAAGGGCTTGAGCAAATACAGATAGTCACGTTACACAACATCAAATCGCATGTTACAATCGTACGTTACCTTAGATTTACCTCGGGACTCGATGAACTCAGAAAACAATACTTCTTACTTCATATTCCTGTATCAACATCTGCTGTGAAATGGATTGTTCAATTTATGTAAATGACTTGACGATGTTTCAATGAAGATGTTGCAATTATTACATGCATCTATTTTCATGCATCAATAAAGCTGTGAATGAAGCGTGTCCATTGCCAATTGGATAATCCGTTGAGCGGCAGAGGACAGTTGTTCATGAAGGCGGACGCTTGAAACTTTTCAACAGGTTCGCGTTAACCGGAGATAAATGTCTTGGAAAGTAACGTTTCTGTATATCATCTGAGAGGCATGGGATACGAATATTACACGTCGACATTTACCCTCTGGGTTTGAAATACAACTTTAGTGTTGGTTATTACCTTCAACCCATTATATTCCAATATACATTCTGACCAGTGGTTTAATTACTTTAGTGATTTATTTGACTGTAGTGGCGCTGTTTACGGCTTTTCACTTAGCTGCCGAGTTAGAAACTATGTTGACCGAGGTGGATGATATTTTTCCAGATGTTGATTTTGATTTTGAGCTTGAATTGATTAATTACCCAATTAGCACGGAAGCTAGGCATAGCCAATCTTAAAAGGGGCAAGTCGGGGGGGGGCAGATGGCCTCCCTGGTGATTTTTTAAGACAAGTGATTTTATTATCCCCTATCTCCGTGTACTTTTTAATAACATGTGGGAAAAAAGTGTCTTCCCAGAGCAGTTGGCGGGAGCTATTATTATTCCTTTGTATAGGCATGGGTCTCCAAACAGCCCTGAGAATTATAGGGGTATTTCACTGCTCAGCATTATCAGTAAAATTTTCACAGGTATTTTAAATAGACGCCTAGTTAATTGGTCAGCTGCTCTTGATAAAATTACAGAGGGTCACACCGGGTTTCGTAAAGGCTATTCAACAATAGATAATGTATTTATTTTGCAGGCAATCATTCAAAAGTATATTACCAGAAGAAAAGGGAAATTCTATTGTGCCTTTATTGATTTTTCCAAAGCCTTTGGCACTGTAGAGCGTCAAAGTACAAAGACTTTGGTATATTCTATTAAAGGGTGGTATCAGGGGGAAAATGTTCAAAATGGTATTTAATATTTATAGTAATGTCAAAACATATGTGAAATCTATAAATGGTTTCACAGAATCCTTTGACTGTCCCGTTGGTGTTAGACAGGGGTGCATGCTGAGCCCTTTCCTTTTTCGTTTTTTATAAATGAGTTGGCTTCTCATTTGCAGACATCAGGGCAGAGGGGGTTTCAGTTATCTCCCGATCTCGTGGAAATTCTGTGTTTATTATTTACAGACGATGTTGTTTTATTTTCTGATTCGATTATTGAACTACAGAGGCTGTTGAATAGCTTAAGTGAATACTGTAATCTTTGGAAAATGTCTGTCAATTTTTTCAAGACTAAAGTTGTTGTTTTTAAAGGGAGAGGTAGGATTTCAATTACTGAAAAGTGGTTTTATAATAACAAAAGACTAGATGTTGTTTCGTATTATAAGTATTTGGGAGTGTTGTTTTCCTGTCGGTTAAATTGGTTCAGTGCTACTAAAATCCTCGCCCAACAGGCTAAAAAGTCGTTAATGTGTTTACGTAAGCGCGTCAGTAAATTGGGCCCCTTGTCCTATGAACATTTCTTTAGAATTGTTGATACTATGATTTCCCTATTTTAAATTACGGGTCTGAAATTTGGGGTCACCATGGTTATGAAACGCTTGAACGTGTCCAGCACCTTGCATGTAAAATGTTCTTGGGTGTTTCCCAAAATGTACCAAATTGTGCAGTATAAGGGGAGTGTGGGGGTTACAACATTTTCCTTAGCACGGCAAAAAGATGCGTTAAATATTGGGCCAAGTTACTGAGTATGCCAGCACACAGATATCCCCGGGAATGTTATGTTATGTTACTTCATCTAGATATGTCACAGGCAAGATACAAACCAAATTGGGTGATCAATGGTAAAATTTATTATTTTCCTGTAATATGCATGGGGTGTGGGAGTCGCATTAGATATCGAACACCAGTAATTTTGTTAACATTTTTTTGTTTCTAGACTAAAATATAGATTGACAAGGAGATGTCACAACTTTGGACAAACTTATTAATTATTGTAATTTTAAAACGCGGCTTGAGCCCGAGCGTTATTTGTTTGCTATTTCTATTCCCTATCATAGGTTTATGTTATCCCGTTTTCGTTGTTCTTCTCATTGTCATGGAATAGAAACCGACAGGAGAAATGATATCCCAAGAGATGAACGCTTTTGCTCACTTTGTGAAAACGTAGAAATTGAAGATGAATTACACTTTTTGTCGATTTGTCCCTTCTTTGATGAATTTAGGAAAACATACATCCCTAGATTTTATTTTACCCCGCCCTCATATGAGAAGTTTTTAACCTTGTTATTGACTGAAGACAGAAACGAATTGAAATCTTTTGCAGCCTTCCGTTTTTCTTCCCTTAAATTACGTTATGAAATTTATAAACACAGTGTGTAACATTACTGTTTTTGTTACTTTATATTTTATTTATAGTTTATGTATTTTGGGCCACAGGCATTTGATTGCAATAAAGACCATCATTTAACCCTCTATTGGCTATGAGATATTTGGTTGGGATAGTTATACAAATGAAGACGGTAGAAGTATATATTATATTCTGAGTTTTAATGTATGACTCCACTTTGAATATATGAACAGAATTTTATAGAAATGTTTTCAAAACATCGTAATAGAATTCTCAGATGTTATCGATGGGTTGTCGGCACTTCAAGTTATGCATTTGTAAACTACAGTTTTTAAATTAAACATACAAATAACGTAGGGTGAACTGAATACGACGGTTACGACTTTCTAAGTTTCTGGCAGGATTAAAATAATCAATTTTATGTGACAGTAGTTCCACAACAATTAGTTTTTATTCAACCATGTCAATCATCACAGTTTTTATCTAGAATTATCTAATTATCTTCAACCGTTATTGTGCCATGCGTAGGGATTTTTCCGTGTAGCGAGTCCAGATAAAAAATAAGACACATTTTTGTACTTTTAAGTGAGCCCACTACTGTGAAACTGGGAACCTTGGTATTGACAACGCTACAAAATAATAACAATAATAAAATTCCGCCAACCCATAATGGATTCAAGCACATATCGTCATTTCTCCCATTATGGGTTGGAGGGTCGTTCATTATTGTTTGAATAAAAAAATAACCTACGTGGATAAATGTATTTTATAGAATTATTAAAACCTAAAACAAGAATATAACTATATAAGAAATGTCTCGACTCGGTTCACATGGAAAGAATAATTCAATAAATGTTAAAGACATTTAATATTTTTTGTGAACGAACGTGATTGAGCAATTTCACAATTATCTCTTGACAAAAGACTCAAAGTTTTATAATTTACGTCAGTACACGTACACTTGGTAAGATGACAGAAGCTAAAGTTCACAATCAATAATGATCCAAATGACCCTTTGAAAAATGGGAAATGCAACTGAATAAAAATGTAATATTATGTTGCTCTAATGCAATAGAATGCAAATATTTACTGAAATAGATTATTGAGGAACATACTAGTAAGTAGGCATTTGCACGTGTCTTCAACGGAATGCGAATTCTATAATGGTGAATTAAGTAATTGAAATGATCCTAAACCATGGCATGGCATTATAACCAAAAGAGACATGTTTCTATTTGAATGAAAAAAATCGTATAGCGAATTAAATAATTAATATGTTCAAAACGATGTACAATAATATAAATAAACAAACACTCGTGTGTCTCGGAACAATCAGAACCTGAATAGTGCACCCGTTTTATGATCGCCGTCATAGACGCATAATATCAACTCATTGGGGCTCATTTTATTCCATCCGCTAACAGCCTGAGAATCCACCCGACACGTACGGCTGGTAAGTCTTTATATCGTGTAGCCAATGATGATCAGGTGATCACACGTATACCCTGTCTTGATCACATTGCAATTATCTATCGCAATGTGTTTCACAAAATTTGCGTTTTTTGTCTTAAACATATATAAAAGCGCGATTTATGAAAAACATCATAATTTCAAAACGGCTGCAAATAAAAATCTGTCGTATCCTTTTAAATGACCCCAGACAGAACAACATCGGATATAACATATATTTTTATTATCTTTAACCAAAGATGTTGTTTTTATGAAACATTCAATATATTTTCATAACTTAAAACATTTTTGAGTTACCATTTCTGGCATTATAATTATGCATTGTAAGTACAATATACAATTAGCTCAGATTGTGGTTACAATCTTGCTGAATAATATTTCTTTTGAATGTAGAAAATAAGATCATTTTATAGCTTAACTGTCGTTGCATAACATTTTGACAATACGTAATTATTGTTGAATGTTATGTTTATTATTTGGATAATGATACCTTCAATTGTATTATTTCATGAACATGCGTGACGTCACCAATAGTTACACTTATTTCACTTTTTTATCAGTGTTAAAATACATCCCCGTCATTAATACAACGACAAAACACCGTGGCGAGAAAGCATATGCCGACATTTGCATATTAATAGAATAAAATTAATCATCGACCAGAATTTAAAATTTGTCTGTGCCCTTGCGTTAACTCATACGAACAATTTGAATGGAGTGGTCATGTCTAGTAACCTACATTATAACATAACGTCCGTGAATGAGGAGGTGTTCGTTTTCAGTGAGACCTTGTATGTACCCCACACACAGCTCTGTTAACATCTATAGACTGTTTCAAAAACACTGAACATGCCATACAAGGTGTGTCGTAATCTATTGAAAATTCGGTTGCATGGCGCACCCATGAGGACAAGCCCCCCAAAGTAACGCCAGGGCGGAACAACTATTCAGTTTCGTGTTGAGTGAGGCTCACCATTGTATGAGTTCACCTTCATAGATTTTTCTGCGCGGCAGCATTTTCTTGTTATTTTCTTAGCAATGTACTCTATTATTTCAACGAATGTGATAACGCTAATTCCAATAAATAGTCCAAACTGTCCACCAACATCACCTAAAATAACACAAATGTTAGATTACTGTGACGTAGTATATTGAAGACAAAAATGAAGCAACTTTATTTAATTTCTCCGATTGTATCAAATACGTTTTTGCATTTTCGTTCAGAAGTTAATTTATAATAAGTAATTGTAATACGGGTGTGTTTGACAAGACTACTTATATACTCACTGAGAAGAGCCGATGACGTCATCGCCTTTGTCTGTTTATATTGCTCATATTGTATTTGAGAATAATATACATCAAGATATACATAATTTTCTCTGAAAGAAATGTTCGGCTTTAATTAATTTCTTGTCATTTCTGGCTTTTAGAGATATAACTCACTGCGCTACATTGCTGTTACGTGTATGTGTCTTACCTCATATCTTCCAATGTTATGTCAAGTAAAATTTCAAATTGTTCAGCGACGTTAGTACTGGGAAACGTTGTATACGATAAGGACGTGGGATACAGTGTATAATTGCACGGCACTGTACAAGGAAGTTCCGGGGCGTTTGACGCCCATTCAGCTATAAATAGATGAAAACGGGGAAAACGTAGGAGTGAACGCATAGGAAAAGATAGGAGCAATTACTCAGTTTATGTGACGTATTCCGATAACAAAAAAGATACAAAACGGTTATTTGGTACTGCAACTTAAATAGACTGCATTAAGGTAGAGATGCAGTTTACCTGACAGGTATTTTAATTAGTTAATTAGGAAACCACAACACAACACTATATATTTTCGGAAAGCTTATTGTATGAATTTAAAAATGTTGTTAGTATTTTTTTTATAGACACTGTAGTTTGAAATATGCACAGAAATGTGTTGTTTTTTTTGGTCATAAGTGATTTAAAAAAAATAGCTTCTAAACCATGCTGCTGTTTCCTGTCAAAATTGGTTTACGGGTACATCTGTTAACTGTGAAGAAAGTGCCGTCTTGAAAACTGTCTACCAGTTTTGCAGGGCAGCAGCTCAAGTTTCACTACTCCAAGTTTATGCATAAATTAACACCCAGGCTAGTTGTCTGTACGATTGTTGTAACACTGTTCAACCAAAAACAATGCCCCAAAGGCGTTTTGAAGATAAACACATTTTCAATCATTTGTGAAAATTTCAAAACAAAAAGTCAAAGCGTCTAGGGGCTATTTTTTTTAAGTCCTTGGATGTGCACTAAACAGAAGCTGAGATAATTGCTAATTTGCATAACAATTCACTCAGTAAGAAGTTTGCTAATGCTCATAATTAAAATGGCTGTAACAGTTCCAAATTTGAATGTATTATCATTTTGTAAAAAGTGAAATATAGTGCATAATATGGAGATCCCGTCATTTCTTTTTTTAACCATGTTTCTTTTTTATTATGTATGTACAGCCTTGCTAAATCTTGCTAAGCATTCAAAAGAGAGAATGTTTGCACCTGTTATCTATATTTTAAAATCGTCTTTTGAGTATGTTCCACTATTCAAAATTCTACAAAATTTTAACAGTCTATAGCCAAGACTGTTTGGATGATAAAAAGCAAAAAAAAAACACAAAAAAAACGATTTCACTCCCAAGTGCCCACGAACCTGCATCTCTACCTTAAATACAAGTAAATGTTTCATTAAGAAAAACATAGACGGTGACGACCAATGAAATGTACATATTTTTAGTTGCCGTCTTACCGGATATTTGTTGAACACATGTTGAACTCTGGTTCAGAGAGCAGACTGGTTCATTGCCCGGTATAAATAGAGGGCGGCATCCACAATCCTTGTAAATAAGATTTTTCAAATACTCCAATGAACAACCAGAAAGACTGTAGGAAGTAAAATAGTCGAGAGCTGCATTGTTGTCACACTGACCCCATGGTGGTTCTAAGGAAATATACTAAATTTGAAACAAAATAAATATAGCAATGTGTGAATGAATAGATATAATCTACATTGAAATATTGTGAATATTGGTCTGGCTGCCATCTGGAGTTGAATACAACTAAAACAAATCTCCACCCAAAACGTTTCTTAAATACCTTAAATGTTTGAAATATCGTCTGTTTATTATATGGTTGTGAATTCTAATTTTTCAGGAGCTAATTTGACCAATCAGTGTATTGTATTTATATTACTTGCTACAAAAAATCTCCACGTGTTTCGGCGACCATTTTGTATTTAATAAAATCCACACGTGTACTACTTCTCATACTATGGGGTACTATGTTTATTATAGCATCACTGGAAAGTGTGTCAATTCTTTGCATTATTTTTACTAAACAAAATAAATACTGGACACATTGATTCGACACATTGAAAACAAAATATTTCTCACAAACTGTACAACCAATTGATCTGATATATTCATTTTATGGGATATCTGGGTCAAAAGTCATTATTATGTGAAAAGTTCTTGACGTATGTTCACGTGGTGTAGTTTTCATCTTGGGTAAATAATTAATTGTTTTCAGACTAGGCTAGACAGACAGTATAAGTTTATTGTGTCATCGATATTAATAGTGAACCTAGTATGACATCACAATGCAATTTATATTATCAGAAATACTCAGACAGTGACATAATAATCTGTCCATTTTTTAAATCAAATACTTCGTATACTAATTAATTCGTATGGAGTGGGAATTTGTTCGAAAGGAACTAAAAATAAACGATATCGAAAAAGTAGTCAGTAGATAGTTTTGTGAACTAGAATATAATGCACACTCTTTCTTTCGTTGCAATAATATTCACTCTGTCTGATTAAAATAAAATCTATTGTGGATTTTTAGTAAAATGCCATTTTTTTTTGGAAATCAGGGAACTCGAAACTTGTATATATGATAGTACAGTGCAGTGGAATTAAAACGTTCTGAGATTTACTAATTTACGATCCCGGTGAGCATGGACTCTCAAAAGAGTTGGTCAGAAAAATATGAGCGGGAAACCAGCGCAGGTAGAGACGACATAAATTACTCGTACAATACATCTTATTTTGATTCAGATTTGAACTCACCCTGACTTGTCTAATATCTGCAAATGCCCGGGTTCCTGGCTGTAATGCATATCCCTGTGACCCTATTTGTGGAGGTTCCTCTTTCGGATGTACCAAGAATTTGATTCCTGCTTCGATATTACCGTAAAGACTCTCTGTATATTCACTCTAATTTGTTAAATTGATCACAAACTATAATTGCAGTTAGACACAAATCGGAACTTTTAAAATGAAAATATTGATCATGTATATTTAGAATTCACGTGTATAATGCCTAACTGTTTATGTACCTAACTGTTTATAATGCCTAACTGTGTATGTACCTAACTGTGTATAATTCCTAACTGTGTATGTACCTAACTGTGTATAATGCCTAACTGTGTATGTACCTAACTGTGTATAATGCCTAACTGTTTATGTACCTAACTGTTTATAATGCCTAACTGTGTATGTACCTAACTGTGTATAATGCCTAACTGTGTATGTACCTAACTGTGTATAATGCCTAACTGTGTATGTACCT